TACCGTCAGCTGAAACCCAATACCTCTGTAATCCTCGGACTCCCCGTTGGCATTCTCTGCTTTCATTACCGTCATGCAATGAATCTTGGGATAGCTTTGGCACTGAAGGAGCCTTCAAAATGTGACAATCTAGTCGTGCCGCCGTGACGCTATCGTACTTCAGATGCAGCCTTCGAGGGCTGCGACCCCTGAATGGGAGCACAGCTGATGTGTCTCGATTTTTTCTGTGTTAAACCAGACCGTGACCTTCTCCAACCTGAACCCAGGAGCTGTGAGACTCTGAGCAAATCCATGTGAAAGTTTATAACGCTGCAGTTGCTACGAGCATTTTGTTGACTCACCGGATACTGTAGATTAATTGAAAACATTTCCTCTTTATGTCGCTGGAAAACGGATCCGCTCAGCATTACATTTCCCTCCAAACAAATTTGATGCTGCAGATTAGTTGTATGTGTAAAAATCATTGACTGTGTCACAGAAATATGTTGATTTCAGAGGTGCTATCTTCCATCAACCTGCAGAGCTGCATCCATCTTCTCAGGGCTCATCACCATTTTCACAGCCATTTTTCTGTCACTACGTATTTGGCTCTGCCACAGGAATATTTGGCTCTGTCGACAGTGAACACAACACCAGGCCTGCTGGACTTTTACCTTCCTACACGTACATGTGATTTGAAGTAAACTTGTGCCAGGTGTAAATGTGGTGGCCTCTCCGTCTCCTCTCATCTCTCTGCTGTTCTCCCAGCAGTCGTTTTATTGGACAGCACCTCCCGTCCCTCCTAACAGTCATCACCATCACGCACCTCACCAAATCACATCATCTCTTTATTATTGCTGAATGGCAGAAGCATCTCGTCGGGCTTCAGCGTCGTTCTGTTTCTCTGAACGGGAGAAAAAACATCTCGTCACACCACGCACTCACATCTGACAGTTTAACATCTCCGCCAGATATTCATACCGGCGGATATATGTCTAAAACCTCTCAATCAATAGCGTATATATTCATGATGTATCCCATTCAGCGAGGAGGTCTCATTTCAATAATATATTCTTTTTAAATCTGGCCTGCAGTTCTCGCTGCCACCCACCACAGCCTTTCACTCAGAAACACATCAGCTCCCACAAATGATGCACTCAGTCTATGGGTCAATCTGAAATAGTCCAAAACAGACAAAAAAACCACCCACAGCCTCTGAATACCATATATACTGTAAACTCTATATGAAGAGTCTTACTTTTTTACTTTCCACAAACTTTTTCTTCTGATGGGAAGTGAAAACTGTCTGCAGTAAACAGACAGTCAGAGCTTCGTGTCAGTCGATCTCACAGAGGTAAAGCCTATTAAAGCATTTAAAGGTGCAATAAATAAGATTTTTACTGAGCCCAGAGCAGGAAATGACCACAATACATCTGTGGGGGGGGGGGGGGGGGGGGGGGGGGGGGGGGGGTTGATGGAGGTGTTGATCAATACCAGTGAGTCAGCCAGAGCTCGGCCAGAGATTTCTGCCTTTCAGAGCTTCATGTCCGTATCCTAATGTGGGAGAGAACACAGGAAGGAAGGAAGGAACCAGAGAACCAAAGAAAGTACTGTAGAGAAGAAGTAGGAACTGAAGGATGAAGCGAGGAACCGAGTAACAGAGTAATGGAACTATAAGACACCAGTGAATCAAAGAACAAAGAAAATGAAGAGCAAACCAGTGAACAAATGGAAAAGAAGAGGGAACAAAGAACTAAGGAGGAATTAAAGGAACTAAAGAACAAACCCAAGAACCAAGAAATGACACTGGGAACCAGTGCATCACAGAAGGAGTTGAAAAAAAATGAACCAATAAGGAACTGGGGGATTAAAGGGTGATCTAAAGAACCAAAGAAAGAGCCTACACCAAGATACCATGAAAACAGAAGGTACCAGAACCACTGAATCAAAAAAGAAACCAATGAACCATGAAGAAGGTACTAAAGATAAATTCAAGAAGGAAACCGAGGAGATGGACGAAGCCAAGACCAAACAAGAATGGAAAATTATGAGAATGAAGTAACAAATAAAAGGAAGGAAGGGCTGAAGAAACTACAGAAACTAACTTAGGACAAGAACTAGGGAGACATAGAACAAACTAAGGAACGATAAGACACCAGTGAATCAAAGAAGGAACCAAAGAACTAAGAAAATAAATAGCAAACCAAGGAACCGTAGTGGGATCCAGTGAACCAAAGAAACTGGGGGATTAAGGAGGGAGCTAAGGATCTAAAGAAATAAAGAAAAGGCTTAAACCAAGGTACCATGAAAACAGACGGAACCAAGGAAACAAGTACCACAACCAATGAACCATGAAGAAGGTACTAAAGATAAATTAAAGAAGGAAAACAAGGAGATGGACGAAGCAAAGACCAAAAACAAATATCTAAAATGATGAGAACAGACCAAGGAACAAAAGAGAGAACAGAAAAGGAACTGAGGAAACTAATTTAGGAAAAGAACTACGGAGCCAAAGAACAAACTAAGGAAGGATAAGACACCAGAGGGAACCAAGGAACCGTAGTGGGAACCAGTGAACCAGAGGAAGAGCTGAAGGGCCTGGGGGATTAAAGAGGGATTCAAGTGGGAAGAAAAAACATCCTCTGTCTTCATGTTCTTCAGTTTACTTATTTACTTTATTGATCCTCATTCATGTGATGATTAGCCAGTGAGGCGTCATGTCTTTACCACTTGAATCATATTCCTTGAGACTGAAATAAAGACATCTACAGTCTTTAGATGCGGCTCCGGAGTCTTTGCCCTGAGCTGGTTTGGAACATGTTTATAAAAAGGACTCTGTCAGCACTTGCACCAAATATGCAATAAAAATGAAATTAGATTAGATATTTTATTATCATGATGATGTGATGTCTCACTGTCTCGCCTTCGTAGATAACAGCCCTCTGACTTGCTCTTCCACTGCAGCCAAATGAATATTAAGCAGCTGCTTCATTACTTCATGTTATTAAACTGGATCTCGACCTGCAGCTGTTGTGGGGGTGGAGGTTTTTATTTTTTATTTTTTATTTTTTATTTTCTCTTTGTATCGCTCAGACTACAACCCTGCCTGAGCGGCCAGGACGCCCTAAGAAGTCACATCAATCTGTCTGCAGCCAGCCTCGCATGGCGGCACGAGCCAGAGCGCACCGGCTGTCGAAAGGTTACTCTGAAGATGGAGATGAAGTCGGCGCTGTGTGTTTTAATATAGACGCCAGCTTCTCAGAGATAACAGGCGTCATAAAAAGCGTTTGACATTTGCCGGCATGTGCGTTCGACCTTATGCAAAGCAGCTCTAATTGATGCGGCGAGGATGATGTCGGACAACAGAGAGCGACCAGATCTTCAGCTGTCACCTCGCCAGCTTTAATTATCTCCGCCGCTGATGTCTGCAAGTCTCTGGACATGAGTCTGAATGTAAACCAGACCGCTTTAAATCCTCCCAAATAATAATGATTATTCCTCAGGATGCGGTGAAGCTCTTCATCATATTGAGGCAGATGGCCTCGTCACTTTAAGTCAGGAAGTCTTTATTCATTTCAGAAGTTAAGGAACTAAAACAAACACAAGTTTGCACATTAATATACAGTAAATATGTACATTTTAAACTTGTACTAGAAATTACATTTCTTCTCTGACACTTTTAATCTGAATGTGGATTCAAATCAGCGTCAAAATTCAAACTGATCATGGGATACATGTGGGAGGATTTTTTTTTTTTGTACTTCAAGGAAAATAAGTGTTTAAAAAGAATCCCTCATGAGAAATCATTCTCAAAAACCCTGGATCCACACCAAAGTGTAATCACTAATCATTTCATTTAATATTTACCCTAATTAAACGCACAATATGTGACATCTGCCTCTCGGGGTTTCTCAATCAAAACAACAACAAACAAAAGACGGCGTTTGGTGATGTTGTGAAGCAGCGTGGGATCATGGGAGTTGTTGCCGTCAGCAGCTTCTCCTAGTTTGGATTCCTTCAGTGTCGGTGGTTTTTTTCTTTACCAACAGTTGAATTATCCACAGAGAAAAACCAGTCGAAACACCCGTAAAGCAGTTTCTCATCAGAGATTCGCCGACACAGGACGTCTCTGAGCTGAGCTGTCGAACGTTTCCTCAGCTCGTTTCTCTGATAACTTCAGATCCGGACGTCTGACGACTGAAATCCTTCATTTGGTTCAAATAGAGAGTTTAAACCACTGAGGTGAAAAAATTTAATCTTAAAAATGTGACTTAAAACTGGATAAAAGTCAATGTTGAGCTTCTGTCAGACAAACACAACTGACACATGATCATACGGGATATAACGCCCTAACCCTAACCCTAACCCTAACCCTAACCCTAGGTCTGAGAATTGATGGAAACATTTAAGATGATGTAATAACACAACTCAACAACATATAGAACACAGGTCCAGTTGTTTTTAGACATTTTATAATAGAAAAGTTACAGATTAGAACTTTAACTCAGTGAATATTTGTGCAAAAGTTGCTCAGCAGTAAAAAATACATAAATACATGATAGAAGAAGATATTTAATCTGATTATAAATGTATCTGATACATTAAAATAACAGCTGTAGCCGCTAAATTGTTTTTCATTGCCTACTTAATGCAAATCCTTGACGTTTTGGTTCAACATTATTAAACTGATCGTCTTAAATTACTGATACAACTTGAATGAAGGTTTAACTGGATGAGTGCAGCCTCTGAAGACGGCGTGTTGATCCATTAGAGAGAAGAGGTCTCACTCTGCGACTCTGTGAATCCAGGTGTCAAAACTCTAGATTCACTCGCTCGAGATAATTTCTCACATTCACACACAGTTTTCTCTCGTGTGCAGAGACGGCTGCAGCTGTCGCAGAGCGTCTGGAGACAGCAGACTACTGTAAAGATCGGGTTTATCGTGGCTGATATCGATCCGGGGGGATCACCTCGGGACATGATCTATTTCTGACTCTGAGTTTTGTTTTTTTGTTTCCCAGGTGTCGATGGGGCTGCTTCACGGTCGGGCCTCCCACATCATCTGGCCACCGAATCGTTGGCAGCAAATCAAACCGTCCCTCCCCCCAAACCGAGGACCGCTGGACACTGAGGAAGACGAGGGATGAACACACACACACACACACACACACACACATTTCTATACCTCTGGTAATGTCATCTGTCGTCTAACGAGGCGTCTGTTAGCTGAAGGGTTCAGACAGTCAAAGCTGTGTCTGTCTGTACGAAGACATTCTTACACATTGGCTTTTTTCTCAAATGTAAAATTCAGGAGGAAACAGATCGTCTCACACTCTGGGAGTTATTGGACTCTGTATTGATTAAGTGTTTTGTTGCTTTCTTCATTAGCAGTAAAAACGAGGACAGACCAGAGAACAGGGATTCTAACCTGTGATGTTTCCAGATGTCACAGAGAGCTGAAACGACTAATTGATTAATTGATTAAATGATTGACAGAAGATTTATAATATCTGCTATTTTATAAACCAAACATTTGATTGATTAATTGAGGAAATAAAATTAATAAATTGGCAGATTAATCGATGCAGCCCTGTTCTGCCTCTGTGCCACAGATTTTTGAAACTCCACATTTTCTCTCATTGAGGATTTCTTTCATTAGTTTTTGTGATAAATCATATTCCTGTTCATAATCTCAAATAAAAGAAGATCTACTTTAGACCTTAATATTAGAATTTACACTCTTGGGATTCATTTTCATATTCAATATAACAACAGCTTCCATGAAGTTTTTCCAGCACCTACTTTAAATTATCTTTATTGTTTGTTCCTTATACATGACGTCCACCCACACTCTTTTCTCATGTAAAATCCAACTTATTATCTTTGATCTCTGTTGTTCCCTCTGAACTCATTCAGCCTCAGTCAGTCAAGCATCTCACCTTTACCTCTTGGGCTTGTGGGAAATTGTGTTTAAACAGAAACATTAAATAAACTATAATATGACACTGCTTTTGAAAAATGTGCCATCCCTCTCTTGACGTCTAAAAGTGATGTTTGTATATGTAATAACATCCTTGTTTTTCTAGTCCTGAAGCACTAGAAAAACCTACAGAAAAATATTATATAATATGTAAAAACACCCTTCAATTCACCTGTTTTACAGATAGTTATGTGTCTGACTATTTCCTGACTGGGAACTGTTGCCTGGTGACCAGCGGACACTCATCTGGAGAATCACTTTTCTCAGCTAACACTTCACCTAAAAGCAAATACAAATATTTTACTAATTGTTGATTATTCGCTTTAAGGTCTCTAAAAAGATTGTGATGAATTTTGAAAAAGGTGACACAAAACCAAGACCAGGATCTGTCACTAACCTCAGCCACGTTAACCTACATAACAACCAAGGCAGCAACGTCCAAGTCTAAAAAATGAAGCCAACAGACAAGTGCCAAAACCTGCAGTTCCTCTAACGACCACTAGAGTCTGGCTCCAACAGTGAGTCAGTCCCCATAGACTCCCATGTTAAAATGTCCAACTTTACAGCAGAAATAAACAGCCTGTTTACAGCCTGGTACAAAAACTGTTTTGGTCTCTGGAGCTGATTTCGTCCTTCATGACACCTGTTTATATAACTCACCTGTTTATATAACTCACCTGTTTACATTTTATAAAGGACTAAAGTTATGGAGGATTGAGGGCGTGGCCTGTTTGAGTGACAGGTGGGTGAGCCTATGTTTGCCACAAACCGTCATGCACCGAAGTCTCAGCTCCACACACACCCCACCTCATTTTTGGATTATCTGGGAGTTGGGGGGCGGAGTCAGACACTACCAGGATGGCAACGGTGGAGCAGCTCACTCTGAGCTTAAAAACTGCCCTTCAGAAACCTATGGGTGACATCTCAGAGGCTACGTCCATCTTTATTTACAGTCTATAGTAACAACTGTAAAAAAAAGTATTAGTCGTATTGTAAGTTGCAATAAATATATGATAATGAAGGAAAACTAATTGTGAACATGTTGTAGGTAGATTTGCAGATAATTTAGCAATTTTGCAAAAATGGTCAATAGAAAGTTTCATAATTATATTAATACAACAATCAATAAAAAAAATCTGGGCAGCATTGCATTCCTTTGAAAACGCATATGCTACAGTGAATTGGTCATATATGATTATTAGTTTCAGGAGACCGGATTGGTCTTTACATATGGAGTCAACCGTACAACATAGTGTTGAGTGTAGTTATGTTTTTTAATCTCCTGAGTTCTGACAGAGGTCAATGTTACTCTGATTTAGCTTCTTATCTCTAAATCCCACATGAAGCAGGTCTGAATTTAATACCTGTTTGACGTGCCTGCTTCTGCTTTCACTGTTCAAACACTCACCACCATCCACACACACCTGCAGACCCTGGACGTCTTTTCATTTTCAGCTGATGTTGACCACCAAACCCCTCTGGGAGAGAAACGTTCACGTCAATTACACAGAGTGAAAAATTGAGTGGTATTCCCCTTTAAGGATGCTGTAATAACAAATCTGTCCTTCCTCCCAGTACGACCTCCATGTTCGTGCACTTGAGGATAACAGTGTGAATTCAATTATTTTTCAATGTGATGGGAGAAAATGAAGTCTGTGTCATCATCTAAAAATCTATTTTCTCTGCGCTTTTGTTTGTGTCACTGGTGTTGTCACCTCCGGGCAGAGGGCTGCTGCTAGTTCCCACAGATCCCATGAATATTTCCCTCTTTATTAAACGCTCAGAGAGGAGGAACGAGCATTTAGCCTCCTACATCAACCAGGTTATGTAAAGTTTTAATTAGGGGGAAACCACACAAGACAAAACATGTGCAGCCGGCTCACTTCAGCCCGGCTCTCAAACAGCTGACAGTCTTTTAAGAGGTGCGTCGCTCATTTGCATAAATCAAATTGAGGGAGCACTTGTGGTAAATTCAGCCAAATGGAGCTCTCAGATGTAGCTGTTGATTCTGCAATGCTAACAGCTGTGTCACAGCGTAATGGGACCCTGGAAGACACAATTGGGGCTAAATGCAGGTGTACTCAACCCTCCCACTGAGGCGACACACAACAGCGGGCTCACATCTGCATAATTAACTTCACTTAAATGTGATGTGCATTTCTGTGCCAATTCAATCTGACGTTTAAGGTTTATGTTTGAGGTTTATGAAAGACGACTGCAAATAAACTACTGTGCAAAATGACTCTCTATGCATTGGGAATTAAAGGCTGAGCTGTTATACTAGTCAGTTCTGAGTAATATCCACTCTGGGTAATAAAGTTTGTGTTTGCTCATCTCTTGGTGCTTTACATCCCGTATTTAACTTATTTACAGAGAGCTGAAAAGACTCATCAGTCTGTCTCTGTGTGTGTCTCTAAGCTTCTGTTCTGTTTCTGTGCCAACAAACGCCGACGGCTCCAGCTGCTAGGATACCGGCGTCGCCGTGGTGAGATATGGCCTCTTTTGAACATGTTCAGAATCACCACGCCAACAGGAAGTGAGCCGCATGCCGAGTCCTGCTGCAGACATGTTTTTTTTTTCAATAGTTTTCTTTATTTCGAAAAAAGTATAAACCCAAAAGAAGCTGCGTTGCCTGAAACCAACGTCCCCGCCCAAAACACTACAAATACATTTAAAAATAATAGCCTGAAAGTGGATTTGTGATTTTGTTTTTCAGTTAATTACAATAAGACAGGTTAACAAGCAGGTTAAAGCTTACATACTGTAAATATCAAATATAAAAGTAACTACTTCCTCAGTTGATAAGCTAACTTAGCTAACTAGCTTACAACCTACTGTTATTTCCAAGGCCAAGGAACTTATCATTAGCTAGCTAACTACATTATTTTGAAGTATTTCACATTACATTAAAGTAGCTATTTGTACCTTTGGCTGTTGCTACATAGCTAACCTCTAACATTAACAAGACAAGGTTATAATACGTCATCGGAGCAGCGGTACTTCGACAGATGGTCCAGCCAGACCGGGGCTAGCTGGTTAGCATGCTAACTTCAGTACACATTTACCAAACGCATTATCCTTATCTTTAACATCTTTTCTGTTGCAAAAGTGAAACACACTGTTTGACAATGTTGAAAATAAATCTGACTTCTGTCTTTCCTCTTGTACATTTGGCTACATAGCTAGCATTAGCATTGACAAGTCAAAGTTATAATTCGTCCTCTGAGCATTGCTACTTCTTCAGGGCAGACTGGACACTACAGTGATTCAGTATCAGAAAGTGCCAAGACTGTCCAGCCAGACCACGGCTAGCTGGTTAGCATGCTAACTTCAGTAGAAGAAAAGAAGTGATGGAAAGAGAAGCAAAACAAGAGTTAACATTGGTGTTACTTTCCGCCACTGGAGACAGCTGTTGTTGAGTAAAGGAATGAACAACGTTTTCCTCTAGACTGCTAAGTAGCCTAAACAGCTGTTGATGCTAACGTTGGCTATATAGCAGTAGCAAAATGCAAGTAGCAAAACAAGTCTGATCTGACATTTTTCCTTATTGTACTTATACTTTTACAGCTAACAAGCTACTAACTGCAACAACAGCACTGCTGTTTCTTTATTTCCATATCTCCAACATGGATCCTCAGCTGGTGAGGCTGTTGTTTTTTTTTGCCTGGCATCTGTTAGCTCAGTCTTTTAGCACGATGTGTCAAGTATGTGCCAACAAATGCAGATTGAGATCCTTTTTACAGAATTCTCATATCAAAACAAATCAGTTTGTGAAATTAAAAAGTTAGCCAGCCAGCTGAAAGAGCTACTGGGAAGTAATTTTCATTTGAGCCAGCAGAAATGAAGTTGCTTATCTACCTCTGTGAAATCAAAGATAGGGCCATTGTTTCAAAATGAGAGATCTGCCGTGTGATCATTGTTAACTGCATATGTGCTAGCAGCTTAGCAAATGGTTGCACCTCTGCTTTTCTTAGGACGAGTCAAAATATCCGCTGCGAAAAAAAAAAGTGCACTTTAGTTTATCTGTAGACTGAGGGTTCAGCTCACCCTGGAGTCAGTTTCTGTGGAAATGTGGTTTTCTTCTGAATTTCTCACCTGGCTGCATTTGATCTGTGTGTTAAATCTTCACAAAAGAAAATTTTATGCGTGAAATAATCTTGGAACAGAGAGCTGTAAATCCAGAGATGATAAGAACATATTTGTCAACCACGTCAGTTTGTCAGTTCATCCTCAAGGACAGTCCACCTCCTCCTGATGGTTTTATTGTGTTAGTGCTGATGCTGCCGTTTTTCTGTTTTCTGCTGCATCTCCCTTAAATGCACATTAAACTGACAGTTTTCACTGCCACACATCCGTCCAAATCTGCCTCGAAAGCAACGTGAAAGGATCAGTGGTTGTGTGTCGACATCAGGACGGTGAATCAATCCAATCATCTGAGGGGGGCAGGGAGGGCAGGGCAGTAACAACAGTTTGCCCCATTACTGCCCTGCACCGAGTTTCTCTGAATCCCTAATTAAATCTTGGAGCGTCTATAACACTCCATGGCTCATTTGACTGTTTGATTGCTCCTCTCTCACGGCGATCTTTACCAGTTTAAAATGCAATTATGATTTCTGTGCCAATTCAATCTGACGTTTAAGGTTTATGTTTGAGGTTTATGAAAGACGACTGCAAATAAACTGCAGCCTGCTGTGAGAAATGACTCTCTACGCATTGGGAATTAAAGGCTGAGCTGTTATACTAGTCAGTTCTGACTGAGTAATATCCACTCTGGGTAATAAAGTTTGTGTTTGCTCATCTCTTGGTGCTTTACATCCCGTATTTAACTTATTTACAGAGAGCTGAAAAGACTCATCAGTCTGTCTCTGTGTGTGTCTCTAAGCTTCTGTTCTGTTTCTGTGCCAACAAACGCCGACGGCTCCAGCTGCTAGGATACCGGCGTCGCCGTGGTGAGATATGGCCTCTTTTACACACGTTCAGGATCACCACGCCAACAGCAAGTGAGCCACATGCCGAGTCCTGCTGCAG